CTCTCTCTGAATCTCACTTTCTCCGGCTCAGTCTCACTGCTCTCTCTCCCACACACAAATCCTGGCTACTCCAGGGCTCACCCTGAAACCTATGCTGACAAACTACCTGACCTGGCAAATTCAGAGATCCCATTTTTCCTTTTCAGGAATCTTCGGGGATTGGATATGAACTTTACTGATAGCACTTAATACCCTTTCTTACTGGTCTACTCTCCTTCATCCGCTATTCCTTGAATATAAATTCCCAGAACGCAGGAATTAATCCTACAATCTGAGTTGATGGAAAGTCTCTAAGAGCAAAGGCTCTGTCTACATCTCCAGCCTTGTCTTCGACCACTTCAGAGCCCGACAGAGACACTTATTCTCACGCTTGCCCCTACTCGTTGGCACACACTTTACTTGCTTTACCACTTAGTTCCCTCCTGCCTGGTAAAACCAGACCCACTGCTTCTCATGGGACACCGTCTCTGACCGCTTCTCTGCTCTCTCTTCAAGTACCTTCATTTTCTCGAGTTTGTTGCGGGAAAGCAAGACCTGAGTCTAATTAGCATCCTATCCCCCGGCATCTAGGACATGCCGGGCACAATGTGCTACATTAAAACTCCACGAACCAACGTATGCAAGGTGCATCCTTCCACCTCCCCCAGTGCTTTTGCGAAGTACACTTCTCTGTCATTCACCTGATCACCACGGGGAAAAGCCCTGAAAACCACTTGATCTTGCAAGTGGCACAGAGAACACACCCAGTCACACAGCTCTGTGAAACCCCATCTTGAAGACCGACTCCGTACCTCATCACACAGTCCATAAAAACCACATTAGTTGCTGCAGTACGAACGGGAACTCTCGGCCTTCACTAAGTGATTTCTGACATCTCAGAACACAAATTCAGCCATCAGCCAAAGAAAACAAATAGCTTTAAAAAGCAGCTGCCTCCCATTCCTCAGCTTTTATCAGTCTTTTTTAAACCCAATGTTTAGAAAGCATTCACTCTAACAAAATAAATGAAGCTTCATCGTACTATGCATTTATCTCGTTTTATCATAAACCATTCAGCATTATCTCTATAGAGTGGTATTTTGATAAATGTGGAGAATACAGTTCCTTGTATATATACCAGTCAAAGATTCAAAAGGGAACGTGCTTACCAGCTACACAATTGTCTGTTGTAGGACCCAAGTAACCACAACTTTAATCAAGTACTTCCCCACCCCTCCTCCCAAATCCCAAATGTGGAGTACAACACATTTCCATAATACAGGAGGGCTTTATAAGTTAATTATATCCAAAAAAATTGGAGGACAAAAACCAACTAATTATTTTCCCTTTTTAACTAATAAAAGCTATGATTTTATGGAAAAGCAATGAAAACACTAGATAAGTATCTCTGCTGTGGATTAGCAGAAACGCATAAGGATATTCCACTTTCTATGCCAACATTAATTAGTGCCCCGCTCCAATGTCTCCTCGCCTTTGTTTTAATTTAAATGTAAATCAAGTGAATGTTATATTTTAGATCCTCTCCACATTCTTATTGACAAATAAGATAAGAGGAACTTACCAGCAGAGACTAGGTCTTTCCACAAGCCAACTAGCAGCATGATACTGCATAATTATTATGGGATAAAGATTATTATGGGATAAAGCTAAAAAGCCCTAATGGAAACATTCGGATAAGGAATAGAAGATCAAAGGGGATATGAAAACAGACATACATCCTAACTAGAGTCTAAACGACAACTTTCCACACCTCCTCTGACTTTGATCCAATAAACATTTATTGAACACCGACTGTTTGCCAGGCTCTGCTAGGTTCAGGGGATACAAATATTAAGATAGAATCACAAGCCTATCCTTCAGAGTTTGGGTATTCTCTGGCTACAAATGTAGTACTCATAAGTTACATAGGTACATAAAGCTGATCCTGCACCGTCCGACAGAGAAGCTTTTAGTCTTAAGTTCCCATTTACATTTAAATTCATACCCGGCACATCTCGAATGCTCACTAGTCACATGTGGTTAGTGGTTACCAATTATACTGGGCACATGGGCATCAACACATAGAGCTAAGGATATATAGAAAGAATATGTACATCATCACAGAACCTTCCACTGCACAGACTCGGCTCAGACACTAAATCATTGATCTCTATCACTTACTGATCCTATAACACTAAGGAAATCATTTAGTTAGCCTAGGAGTCTGTTATGACACAGACACAACTAAAATGTCCTTCAGTAAAGGAATGGCTAAACAAATTATAACCTATCCATACAATGGAATGTTATGGAGCAATTAAAAAAATAAACACAATAGGTCAGTATGTACTAGCACACAAAGATCTCCACAACTTAATATTGATACTGGTTGGATTAAGAAATATACAATGTGATACCATTTAGGTAAAACACATTCATATTAAAATGTACCACATTTTCTAGAGACCTATCTTAAATACACAAATATACAAAAACAAATGGATTGACCAAACAGATACGCAGTTATTCTTACAGTGGTGCCCAAAGGGGATTTGGACCACATAATAAATGTATATAAAACAAGCTACTGGAGGACAAGGTATTAATATTTCCTATACTAAGAGAAATAGTAAATTTAATTGCCACACCATCTATACCTGCCAGATGCTGATAAAAGTGCTCTGAGATAAATGTGTAAGGCTTTTTATATCTAAAGATTCTATGATGGATAGAGTAGAAAGTTTATAATTCCTAAGTTCTTAAGCTTTTGAAGGAGTTTAAAATCCACAGAGCAAGCAAACACAGTTGGTACCATGAATTTGAAAACAATCTGTGATTACTGAAAATGAATCAGTTCTCCCCTGTGCTCAAAGTCATTCATGCACTAGACAGTTGGGGTGGGGAGGGTGGGGAGAAATAAGAGACTCAGTTTCCATCCTTAAGCAACCTACAGACTAATGGGAAGGCACACATTCAGAAAGATCTTAAAACATAATGGCATACAGGTCATGAACTAGAAGTACAGGGAGATACAAGAGCATACAGCAGATATGGAAGGAAAATAGGAATCAAGTAGACAAAATATGTATTGTGGGGAAGACGGCAATGATTCAGGTAAAGGATATAGGTAGGAGTGTGGAGATCTAAAAGAACGTAAATGCCCCCACTTGGACGGGGGTAGTGTAGTTGAAAGAGGAGGGAGACAGAGTCAAAACTATGCAAGGCTTCATAAGCCATGGTAAAGAACTTGGATTTTATTTTAAAGATGGTGGGAAGTCACTGAAGGGTGGTTTTAAATACGGCAGTGACATGATGAGTTCTGCTTCTGTAGAAGGCTCAGGGGAGAGAATGGGAGACTGGAGTAGTAAGCTTGGCAGAATGTAATGTGAGCCTCTAGACAGCAGGTGATGGCAACATAGAGAATCTGAGACAGACCAAGGGGACAAAATAGGTGTGGTCTGGATTCAATTGATGGAGGAAATAAATATGCTCCGCTGTCCCTGCTGGAGAGATAGAACTTAGCAAATTTCTTTGCAATGTCTTTTTTTGGGACACCTGGATGGCTCAGTCAGTTAAGAGTCTGCCTTTGGCTCAGGTCATGATTCCCAGGGTCCTCAGATTGAGCCCCATTGGGCTCCCTGCTCAGCGGGGAGTCTGCTTCTCCCTTTGCTCCTCCCTCTGCTTGTGTGCGCGCGCGCTCTCTCTCTTTCTCTCTGTGTCAAATAAATAAAATCTTTTTTAAAAAATGTCTTTTTTTTAAATGCTAAAAATCTTCATCTTTTTTTATAGATCCACAATCCTTTATCTGTGATCCCCAAATCCAAAAAGCTCTGAAAATGGACAGGACTTCTGTACGATGGCGGCAAAACCGGATTTAACATGAGCTTCTAATTCTTGCCCTATCCCATTCTGCAAGAATATTCTACATAGTTCATTGTAGAAATATTAGCATCTGTGACTATGGGGTACAACCAGAAAAGACATTAGGTTTGTGAGGAAACAGTTGCTGTATGTACTATGCTACCTTTAAAAAATCTGAATTCAGCAATGCATTCGGCCCCTAGGGTTTCTGGGAGGAACTGTAGATGGTAAGTTGACCATATTCACTTTCCAGCTTTCACGGTGATACATACCACTAGTGATCATACAGACCATAAATTTGTGCCTGTGTTTGGTCAGGGAGGCGGGATATGGGTCAGTTACTATTCTTGATTGTGTGATTCTGGAGTTAAGAATGCATAGGTTTATTCTAATGGCTGACCTTTAGACATGCATCAAATAAGACAGGAAGCATTCATGTTTAGGGAGTTTTCATGGCACTGTGGAGAAAGTGCTACAAGGCTTAACCTCATGTATCTCTGCCCCTGGGGACTGATAACTTGTTTCTAACAAGGTGTGTGCTACAAGACGCCAGAGGCATCAAAAGGAATCTATCCCAGCCCTCTACCTACAACCCATCAACATTCATTCATTTTTTTAAAAACCCATTGGCACAGTACTCTGCGAGGGGATTTGGAGACAACAAATAAATGACATGTGATCCCAAACTGTTCTCAGGGAAGTTGCTCCAAAGGAGATGTTCTATAAATGTTTGTTAAGATAGTAAACTAGAAATAAAGAGAATATCAGTCTGTAACATTAAAAATGAGGTGAGGAAAAACAAGTTGCTAATCGCTTTTGAGTTGAGAGCTTGAAATCAGGGAGAAAAGTGTATCTAGGGAAGCAAGTGCTTTGATGGATAAGATTTGGAAAGACAGCTGGGGAAGGAAAAAAAAAAAATCAAAGTATATCTTCCTGATTGTCTAGTGATAGAACTCCCCCATCAGGACCCCTTGAGAAATATCATTAATAACCTACCTTATGCACCAAGCAATGTGTGGAGTTACAGTGATGTTCACTTTTGGAGCAATGCTAACCTGAAAGCAGCCTAGTTTTGAGTTGAAAAGACAGTAAAGCAAGGAGGTTGTTGGTGGTTTTACATACTTTTGCAAGAGTAGAGAAACTGACCAGAAAGGTCTTACCTTCAACGCAAGAAGGCTGAGCCCGCGTTGTGCCAGCAACCTGCCCTGGGAAGCAGGAGCACTTGACGGTTTGTGATCGCTCTTCGATGCGGTTCTTGTTACAGCACCTGTGGACAGCGACCACCTCACAGGTCCCTTGCTTGATTTGGTGGTGACCTGATGGATAAAACAGACCCAGTGCTGTCAGGAAAAAAATGAAGCTACAAAGTATGTGAACGATACCATGACCACATTTTCCAGCTTCCTGCACCATGCTTAAGAATCTTTGTAACTTTTTGTTTGGATGTCATTTCAAATTTTTATAAAGGTGTCAAGAATAGTGCGAAAAATTCCTATAAACCTGTGGTAGACAGAAATTCAGCCCCCAGAACCTTCAACCCCCGGTATCACACCCATTATGTTACTTACATGGCAAAAGAGATTTTGCAGATATAATTTAAATCACTAACTGGGGGATTCCTGGGTGGCTTAGTCAGGTAAGCATCTGCCTTCAGCTCAGGTCATGATCCCAGGTACCTGGGATCCAGCCCGGCATCAGGCTCCATGCTCAGCGGAGAATCTGCTTCTCCCTTTCTCTCCCTGCTTGTGTTTGCACTCTCTCTCTCAAATAAATAAAATCTTTAAAAAATAAAATAAAAATAATTAAATTACTAACTGGTTGATCTTAAGAGAAGGAACTTGAGCTAATGTGCTCACATGAGCTCTTAAAATCAGAGAGAGAGAGCAGAAGGGGAAGTCAGATTGAAAACATGAGAAGGACTCAAAGCATCACTGCTGGCTTAAAGATCAGGGGGTCAAAAGGCAAGGAAATGGTGACTTCAGTCCTACACCCACAAGGAACTGAGCCAACAAACTGAATACATGTGGAAGCAGATTCTTCCCCAGAGCTTCCATAAAGGAATGCAGGCCTGCTGATACCTTGATTTTAACCCAGAGGTCAGACTCTGAGCAGAGAATCCAGCTACACTGTGCCAGACTTCTGACCTACAGAAACAAGCCACTAAATTTGTGGTGATTTGTCACAGCAGCAATAACTAAGACCTTTTATCCAGATTCACTGTTGTTAACACGTGACCCTCTTTGTCTTGTCATTCACTCTCTTTCACATATCTTTCTGAGCCATTTGAGAGTAACTTGCAAACATGATACCCCCTGACCCTTCAGGAACACTTCAGTGGTTATTTCCTAAAAATAAAAACAGTCTCTTACATAATTATCAAAATCAGGACATTTGACACTGATACAATGCTATTTACACGATGCTATTACATGATCTACAGTTTTGCCAGTTGTCCTAATAATGTCTTTTCTAGCCTTTATTCCCCTTGTTCAGGATCCAACTCAGGGACCTATATTGTATTTAGTTGTCACATTTCTTTAGCCTTCTTTAGTCAGAAAGTATTTTTTAGCCTTGATCTTTCTTAACCTTGACATCTGTCAAGAATACATGCCAGTTATTTTGTAGAATGTCCCTCAGTGGGTCCAGTGGCCCTGGTCGAGTCTTCAAAGACTCCAACACCAGCCAACAGCTTAAAGTCAGTCTGATAACCCTGAAACAGGACCACCCAGCTAAGACACTCCCAGATTTCAGCTACTGACAGACTGTGTGAAGTTATATATGTTGACTGTTTTAAGCTTCTAAGAATTGGGCTAATTTGTTACACAGTGATAGATAACTAATTATCATCTCTGGCTATAGCAGGATTGGAAAGATTTACCTCTGCTCTGATAAAAACTATGTAAACAAGGCTGTGGAGGCAATATTTAGAAATTATTAGTAAAAGACAACTTTTTCAAGCACCCTCAAATTTCACATATGCTATTTACAATAAATTGTTCTGTGAATTACAAGCAGTCTCATCTACTCATTAAGACAGGTTTCCCCAAAGATTCCCAGGGGCTAATGCTTTGCTTGGTTTCTGTGGTGGGTGCAGGTACTTCAAATCACAAAACTAGCTTAAAAATCTGAATTATGGAATATTTTTAATTGATAAAACAAGCCCTTCCACAAAACAACCTCTATATTATTCTGAAAAATTTCTAGCCCTTTTTTCTATGTTAACTTTCGGTGGAAACAAAATTCAATCACTGGCAAGAACAAATACTAAGGCAAAATTTCATTTGTAAAACACATAAAAGCAGAACCACTACCCAGAGAATCAAACCACCATCCTGAAATTTTCCATCTACTACAGAAGAAAGCATAAAGTGATTAAAACTATAAACCCAATTAAATGTACACAACAAGAATGCTGATTTCCGAGGTACCTGGGTGGCTCAGTTGTTAAGTGTCTGCCTTTGGCTCAGGTCATGATCCCAGGGTCCTGAGATTGAGCCCCCCTTTGGGCTCCCTGCTCAGCAGGAAGCCTGCTTCTCCCTCTCCCACTCCCCCTGCTTGTGTTCCCTCTCTTGCTGTGTCTGTCAAATAAATAAAATCTTTAAAAAAAAGAATGCTGATTTCCCATAGGTAGTTGCATACAATTGTAAAAAATAAATACAAATAAATGGTAATTACAATGTCGGGAAAGTAGGGTGGGCACTTAGTGCTGAGTAAGCAGAACAGCAAGGACTGGGAAGAGCTCAAGAGGAGACCCTGTCTCTGGTTTCCAACTGCAAGTAAGCACGTTCAGGTCAAACGTTCCCTGAATGACTAGCCATGTGGTAGGGGGGCCCAGGGTGAATTCATCCCCAGTCCTCCATCAGTGCCTTCCCCTGTTGGCCACTGTCACAGTTCGCTCAGCTGCCACAAGAAAGGACCACAGGCTGGGTGGCTTAAACAACAGATCAAGGTCCTGGCCAATTCAGGTGAGGGCATTCTTTGCAGCTTGCAAAAAGCAGAAGGGGGCAGGGACAGAGCGCTCTGCTGTCTTTTATTTTTTTTTTTTTTCCATAAAAACACTGGCTCTCCCAGATTAGGGCCACACCCATACCCATATGACCTCATTTAACCTTAATTTCCTCCTCACAGTCTCTGTCTCCAAATATAGTCATATTTGGGGGTTAGTGCTTTAACTTAGGAATGGGGGGGCAAATATTCAGTAGATATAACAGCCATCCTGAATTAGATTTTCATTTTTTTTTTTTTTAAGATTTTATTTATCTGACAGAGAGAGACACAGTGAGAGAGGGAACACAAGCAGGAGGAGTGGGAGAGGGAGAAGCAGGCTCCCGGCCGAGCAGGGAGCCCAATGTGGGGCTCAATCCCAGGACCCTGGAATTATGACCCGAGCCAAAGGCAGAGGCTTAATGACTGAGCCACCCAGGCGCCCCTGAATTAGATTTTCAAAGACGCTGGAGAGCCATGAAGGCAGAACTAAACCTCACTAAGAAAATAAAAGAAATGCATTTTAGTAACTTAGCATAGTTGAGAAGTGATTGGGATATTGATTAATATTATAGTTGGCTTAGAATTTTGCTATTTAGATAACCATCCACAAATGCAAACAGATTTTTTTTTCCCTACTCAAATTTCTCTTTAAATAATCAGCTTGTGTAGTCTAGGATTTTATTCATTTATATAACACGGACTATGGTACCTCATTGATTTTTAAGATACAGTGTTTTTCTCATCTTTAAACATTTCAGGTCTCACAACTGATAGTATCTTATTGTAACTGGCAATGCTTTTCTTTCTTAGAAATACACAAAATCGGGGGGGGGGAGCAAGATGGCGGAGGAGTAGGAGACCTGGATTTCATCTGGTCTCAGGAATTCAGCTGGATAGGGATCAAACCATTCTGAACACCTACGAACTCAACAGGAGATCGAAGAAAAGAATAGCAACAACTCTCTGAACAGAAAAGCGACCACTTTCTGGAAGGTAGGACATGCGGAGAAGTGAATCCGAGGCGATATTCGGGAGGATAGACGGCGGGGGAGGGGCCTCCATCGGCCGCTTCTGGCAAGTGATAGAGCCCCAGAGCACAAAATTGGAACTTTTAGAAGTCTGCTCCGCTGAAGGACATCACTCCGGTGGCTAAGCGGGGGGTGGAACCATCGTGGGACAGTGTGGTCTCAGGACCCTCGGGGTCACAGAAAGACTGGGGGTGCCTGAGTGCGGTAGAGCTCCCAGGTATCGGAGCAGGGAAGCTGGCTGCAGAGATGGAGCCGAGGAGCGGGCTCTCAGCTCGGGGTGATCCGCGGCATAGTCGGGCCACTGCTCCTCCAGCAAGGACCCAACAAGCAGCAGATCCGGGGAGACTCCCCTTCCTCCCCCGAGAGGAGCGGCGCTGGAGCGCACAACAGGGATCTGCAGGGTTTGGAGACTCCACAAGGGGTCGTGTGCCAGAGAGAGAGACGCTCGGTCACAGGCCGGGTGAGCGCGGAGTGCGGCCGGAAACTGGGGAGACAGGAGTGACTGACTGCTTTTCTCTGGGGGCTCACTGAGGAGCAGGGCCCCGAGTTCTCGGCTCCTCCAGGGCAGAGATTGGGAGGCCGCCATTTTCACTCTCGGCCTCCAAAGCCCAACAGAAAGCTTGCAGGGAACAAAAGCTCCCGAGAGCAAACCCGAGCAGATTACTTAGCCCGGACAGGCAAGGGTGGGGCAATTCTGCCTCCAGCAAAGACATTTGGAAACCATGGCAACAGGCCCCTCCCCCAGAAGATCAGCGAGAACAGCCAGCCAAGACCAAGTTTACTGATCAATGAGAATGGCAGAACTCCAGCGATAGGGGAATACTGCACATAGAATTCATGGCTTTTTTACCATGATTCTTTAGTCTTTCAAAGGTAATTTTTTTTAACTTTTTTTTTTGAATATTTCTTTTTCCCTTTTTCAACCAACATCTTATCAATCCCTTTTTTAAAAAACATTTTTCATTTTTTTTTTAAGATTTTGTTTATTTATTTGACAGAAAGAGAGACACAGCGAGAGAGGGAACACAAGCAGGGCGAGTGGGAGAGGGAGAAGCAGGCTTCCCGCAGAGCAGGGAGCCCGATGTGGGGCTTGATTCCAGGACCCTGGGATCATAACCCAAGCCGAAGGCAGACATTCAATGACTGAGCCACCCAAGTGCCAGCAACATTTTTCATTTTTAGAGTCATATTCTATCCCTTCATAGTAGTTACCCTTATTTTTGGCATATATATATATATATAAGTTGTTCTCTCTTTAAAATTTTGAGATACAGTTTCTTCTAACAGATCAAAATATACCC